ATACTTGAATTTAGGTTTGATTTTGATTAGAATCTGATGTACTTTGAACATATAATCGATTATAAGTGTTTGGGGAAAGAACCCATGTAGTTTAGAGGGTTTAAAGCTGGAAAACGAAGAAGAAATTTCGTCGGACAAATCTGGGTAGTGATGGCGCGTCGCGGAGCTAGTCCCTAGTTTTTGGAAAATTCATTTCGCATCGCGAAGCGGTAACGGACCATTTTGTCTCAAAAGTTGTTTTCGAAACCAAAAATTAAATATCCCTCCGCGTTGCGGACCCACCCTCAGATATTGATTTTTGATCTTTTCTCATGTTTAGCTATCTAAAATCATTCCTAAACATCGTGAGATCGTTCCAATCACAAATCACAATCCTTGAATCCATAATTCAATTCAAGGACCAATTAAGAGTCAAGTCAAGAGCGGTTAAGATCAAAGTCAAGAGAAGTTCTTAGATTTTTCAAAAGTCTTTTACAAATATTTTTAACTTTGTTTTAAGACTTAAAGTTCAAGTTGAGTAAAAATTAAAGAGTAAAGTTGAAGTTTATTTTTTCAAAGGTATATGGGGACTATGTATTACCAAAGGGTTTAAAATGTTTTCACATTTAGACAAGAAAGGAAACCTTGATTTCCAAAGGGCCTTCGGGCTAGTTTTCATAAAAGAGTAATCGCTTTCTAAATGAAGCAAGAGGGGAAACTTTGATTTCCAACCTTTGAGGTAAGTTTTTGAGCAATAATCTCAAATGACAGAAGAAGTATGTTTTAAACATAAGAGCTAATTTTATATTATTTTTGGGAGTAGTATTGAGCACCGATATGGAGGAGAGTTCAGACAACTCACAGCCCCCATAAACCATGTAGCCACCATGAGTAGAAAAGAGTCATACTTTTTAGATGATTCCTTTAGTGCTTCTCAGCATAGACTAGTGGATCCACTTAGTAGTTCAGGTTTTATACCCTCGGCAAGGTATAGGACGGCCCTGGCAGCGTGAGGCAAAACGTTGTATCACCACAATAGCTCTTAAGTGATGGTTGTCAATTAGAGAAACTCCCACAGAAGTAATTGTGTTCTTATATACACAGTTTATTTGTATTTTTACATACATTTCAGAGTTATATGTATCTTTGTATACACACAGAGTTTACATCATGTTTTAAACAACTTTTCTTTATATTGCACTTGTTTTAAACTGCTTTATATTGAAATAAGTTCAGATATGTTGAGTTGAGTTGGGCCAGGTAAGTTCTTCAGATTCTTTTCAAGTTTATGTTGTGTTTAGCATTCCAACTTGCATACTCGTACATTCAATGTACTGATGCTAGTTGGCCTGCATCTTATTATGATGCAGACACAGGTAACTAGGATCGGCATCCAGCGCATCGTTGATCCAGTGAACACTCCAGAGTCAATTGGTGAGCCTCCTTGCATTCCGGAGGACTCCTTTTATTGCTTTCAGTTTTATTATTAGTTCATTAGGATGTCGTCGGCCTGTCCCGACATCCATCTCAGTTGTTTAGAGGCTTCATAGACAGACAGTCAGTAAGTTAAATTCATTTGTCACTACCTTATTATTCGCTTATGTTTTTTAGACTTGAGGTTGCCATTTTGGCCAAGTTGAATGTTGACTTTTAAACATTCTAATTTTGATCATTACAAATATGCATATAGTCTTCCGCTGAGTAAGTAAGCCAGGCCAAGGGTTCGCTTGGGGCCAACAATGGTTCTCGAGTGCCAGCCACGTCCAGGGTGTAGGCTCGGGGCGTGACATATCTACATCATGAAATGATGCAGGCCAAATGGCTCAGTACATGGAATGTACGAGCATGTAAGGGGAATTCTAAAGCATAAACATAAACTTGAACTGATGAAAAAGAAACATACTACCTCTTCTCAACTCACTCAACTCAACTCAACTCAATGAAACATAGTTCAACTCAACTCAGAGAAAATAGGACTCAACTCAATAATAAGATACTCAACTCAAGTTACTCAACTCTAGATACTCAACTCAAGATAAAGCAACAAGAAAAGATGCAATATTTGAAAAGCTTTTAAAACAACAGATAACAACTCAATGTATTGAAGAATACAATAATAACTCGGCTTGTTTATATAAAATACAATATAACTCTGTGGGAGATTCTTTAACCGACAACCATCACTATAAGTTATGTGATGATACAACGTCTATCCCACGTTACCAGAACTGTCCTATCTTTGCTAGGGTATAGAACCTATTACTAAGTGGATCCACTAGTCTATGCTAAAAAGCAATAAGGAATCATCTAAAAAGTATGACCCTTTCTACCCACGTTGGCTACATGGTTTATGGGGGTTGTGAGTTGTATGAACTCTCCCCCATATCGGTGCTCAATACTACTCCCAAAATATACTTGCTCATATGTTTTTAAAAACATAACTCTTTCTGTGTTTTGAGATTATTACTCAAAAATCTCTCTCATAAAAGAGATGATACTCAGAACTGCAAATGAAAACTCTTTTGGAAAATGGTGTTTCCTCTCTTCTTATATGTAAAAAAATTTACTCATGAGAATACTTAGTTACCATTTATCATTTTAAAGAAAATGAACTCAGCTCTACTCTTCCACAAACTCATATGTTCAAGTCTTAAAACAAGTTTTAAAAAGGTTTGCAAAAGACTTCTCAAATTAGGGTTCATGCAGAATTATGGGCATGAACTACTCAACTCAAGGACCTTCATGGGTAACATGTAGTAGTCTGATGACTAGGAATATAATCTCAAAAGGACTAGGAACTCAATACTCAAGACTTAGAACTTGAAGATACTACTCCTCTGAAAGATACTAAATATATGGAGTTCATGCGGAATTTATGGGGATGAACGACTCGACTCAAGGGTCTAAGTTACAATATGGAACTCATGTATACGACTCTTCTCATTCTCATACTTACTTCCTCAAAACTAAGCTCAAATTGATAATTGATCTCAAAGGATTCACAATTGAACTTGAAGACTTTCTTGAACTCTACTCTTAACTCTTTGTTGAATTTGAATTATGAATTCAATATAACTCATGATATGAAGGATCTCAATGATAGTGTAGACTCATGAATACATTCTCCTCACTCTCATGCTCACTTACTTGAGTCTTGAAATAAGTTATTAGAAATTGTAGAAGACTCCCCAAAAGTCTCAAAGGGACTTTCTCAAAAGACTCGAAAGAACTCTCTAACTCATGATATGAAGGATCTCAATGATAGTGTAGACTCATGAATACATTCTCCTCACTCTCATGCTCACTTACTTGAGTCTTGAAATAAGTTATTAGAAATTGTAGAAGACTCCCCAAAAGTCTCAAAGGGACTTTCTCAAAAGACTCGAAAGAACTCTCAAGACTTGACTCTTAACTCTACTCTTAACTCTTCCTTGAATTTTAATTATGAATTTAAGGATCATGACTTGATAAATAGGATTTCTTGATGTTTGGATGTAGGTTGGATAGTAAAAACCACTAACTTTCATCTCAAGAATTCCTCAAAACCTCAACAAAACAAGATTTAGAATGAAACTTCAAGAACACTTACCAAGAACTTAATTTGCTCAATATTTATGGATATATTCGCAAAACAAACTCATTATTGGTGTGTGGGTGAACAAACCCAACACTATGGAAGCTTACATACCTCAAAGAACTAGGTTTTTGGCGAAATCTTGAATTTTTTGAACGAACGCTTGAAACTTTGAACTTTTTCTCCTCTCTAATCTTCTCTCCTAGTACCCTAAATGCTTTTGGGGATGAATGAAATCGATGCTAACCAGTTTAGACCCTGAATTGATTGTAATTAGCGTTTAGAATAAGTGAGGGTAAGGAAAAGACTAAAATGCCCCTCCTATTTTCGGGTAACTTTCCTTAAATGGACAGTCTTACTTAAAAAGGGCATATCACCCTCATACAAGCTCGAAAATTAGCAAACTCGGTGGCATTGGAAAGAGGACTCGGAGATATTTCATTTGAAATCTTATGGGTTCTCCTAACTCATCCTGTGCTAAAAGTTATGGTCATTTTAAGTTGACCCAAAACTTCAATGAACTTAGGAATGACTTGAATGAACCCTCTTCTAAAATCCTAAGCGTATTTGGATTTATGAAAACTGAACCAAATCAGATTTGTCCCCAAAATATTACTAAAATTCGTTTTAAGCTAATTTGGTAAGGAAAAGACCAAAATATCCCTCATATTTTCGGATAACTTTCCTTAATTGGACAGCCCAACTTCAAACGGGCATATCTCCCTCATACAAACTCAAAAATTAGCAAACTCGGTGGCGTTGAAAGAGGTCTCGGAGATCTTTCTTTTGATATCTATTGGGTCTCCTAACTCATCATGTGCTAAAATTTATGGTTGTTTGAAGTTGACCCAAAACTGTAATTATCCAACTAAATAGGGAGTTCAAATATTTCCCATTACACTCCTACTTCTAAACAAATTGGTAGGAATGGCCTGAAGGAATTATCTATAGTTCTTTTTGAACTGAAGGTGCTTCATCTAGAGACAACTTAAGAAAAATTTAAATTTCTCGGTAAAATCTTACTCACAAAGAAGAATGGTTCGAGTCTTAGCTCAATAATTTTCCGGAGTGTTACATTATCTCCCCTTTGGGATCATTGATCCTCGAATCGCACTACATGAAAAATGACATTTAGCGAAAGGAAATTTGATCGCTAAAAGTTCAAATCCAGTCGTTAAAAGTCTATAACGACCGGGAAAAAATTGGTTGTCACCGGTCGTTAAAAGCTCTGTCGTTAAAAGTTTACAACCGGATTCATAATCCGGTCGTTAAAGATTCTTTAGCGACGATATAAATTCTGGTCGTTGATAAATTTTTCCTTCGCTAAATCCCAGTTAACTACTTGGCAATCACGTTCTTAACATTTCATTCATTATGTATAAGAACCAAATGCTAACTTCTCTCGTTAAATGCATTTTGTCATTCACAAATAATATATCACAAAACATTGTAAAATATTCAATTTCAATATAAACTGAATTGTCAATTATAAAAGAAATAATGTATCCCAATTTGTCTGTATCTAACTCTATTGTAGATTGTACAAATGTAAATCTCAAACACACCCTAACAAGAACAATTTATCAACTAATTTCAGCTTCCTCCATCTTAGCAGCAAGTGACAAACAAGATACACCCCATGACTGCATCTTCATGTTTTTTCCTTCTGCGAAAACAAGAACAAATGTTATCAGTAATGTGACTAAATGAAAGAAAAAACATAGTATTAGTAAAAACAACGAACAAAGAAATTCCATGTAAATGCATACACAAAAAGGAGTTGATAAAAGTATTGAACTTCCAATATGCAGCCAGACAGGCCGAGAGTTGAAATATGAATAAACCTGTTAATGAAAATCCCCAAACATTAATCTATAAAGAAGAGTAGCTGAGTAATGAGATATCAAACTCCTGGGTGGTCAAACAAATGTTAAATGTTACTAGATGTTAATAAGAAGACACCATATATCCTGAAGATGACATAATCAAAATACCAGAAAACTCTTCTAACTACTCGACAAAAAGAAAAAAAAAGGCAAAAGCCACTAGATCAGAATCAAGAACGCAAGATTAGGGAAAAGTCAATCAAATATTCAGATCAACAACACCATTCTTCATGTGAGGTCAAACACATAAGAAAATAAAGCAAGTAATTTAACAAGCACTCCTAGACTTGCATCAAATAATATGCAAGAAGATAAAATGAACATGCTAAAAATTCAAGCCAACATTCTGTAAATCAATCAGATAGCTGACGTAAGGAACAATAAAGTAGTCATATGGAGAATGAAATAATCAAATGAATATGCTATTCAATAATCTTACTTCTACTTCTGAATAATTGGAATTTTATAAAGGAAACCATTAGCCAGAGGTTTTAATAAAATTGGACCCACATTGATTAAGGTTTTGACAATATCTAAGTTGCTCGGACTCGGGTGCGGGTATCCGAGACGGATGCGAATCCGAGAGTCGGATTCGGCAAAATCTAAACTTTAAGATTCGTGGTGCGAATCCGAGTATGGATACGGGTGCGGGGATACGGCTAAAATTTTCAATATTATAAAAATATAGTTATGAAGATATTCTAAATTTGAAAGATATGTTGTGATAAACTTACATGTATTTTGTAGAATTCAATCTTCCATTCTTCAAGATGAGATTTACTCTTCCATTATTCCTACAAAGATGCAACAAAATAGAAACTAAACGTTAAAAGCATTTACAAATTAGTGAATTACAGTAGAATAAATATAACTAAAAGAATCAATAAAAATTGAAAAGAAGAACTAACCTTAGAACATGGATAGTAACTCTTGTCTCTTGAAACAAAGTGAAAGTGAAAATACTGCAAGTATTAAAATTTAAGATGTACCCAAAGATAATTATCCACAATTTAGATATTCATAATTACTAATCAATATTCAATACACCAAGTAAAAGTGTAAAACATACTATTTAACAAAAATCAAGAGATTGTCTCAACTTAATCCATAACTTAAAATTAACATAACAACAAAATATTGTCAATTATCAAGTTATTTAATTAAGTTAGCTATCTCTTCCACATCTTCCACATCTTCTTCAACTTCTTCCAAATCTTCAAACTCTTCCTCAAATATCACACCTTCAATTTGAGGTTCATCTATTGAAAGCTCGGTTAGATCATTAGTTGTCTCATCAATATCAAATCGATCTCCACCTAAAATAAATTAAAAAGAATAAATATATTAGAAGATTTTATATAAAAAGAAAAAAACATCATTTAAACTAAAATAATTGAAGAAAATAATAAAGAAAATATAGACATACCAACATCCCAATATTTGCTTGGCCCATTTATATATTTCTCTTTCTTGCGAGACAACAACCGGAGATTATAATGTACAAACACTAAATCTTCGGCTCTTGAAGTTGCTAACTTATTTCTCTTGATATTGTGAATCAAAGAATATGTACTCCAATTTCTTTCACAACAAGAGGAAGAAGCCGGTTGAGTAAGCAACTTGTAAGCTAATTGTTGCAAAAGTGGAGCCGAGACCCCATGATTTGCCCACCAAGAAAGAGAATCTTCATACATCATAGCCTCAATCACATGAGGCTCACTAAAATAGCCACTTCCGCTACAAAAGGATCCATACTCCAATGAGACTTGTTTCATTTCATTAGAATCTTTAAAGTACCTTTGAAAGCACTTGACTCTATTCAATGAAATTTCACTATCTTCATTAGGAGCTAGCTTTCGAATTCCATTCTCTCCTTGAAGCCATGATTCATGATAATATTTGGGAACCAAAGAATGTGCCATACAATGTAGAGGTGTGTTACTTTTGTTCCACCTAGCCACAAGAATATCATGAATAGTATAAAAAAAAATTGATTGACCGGAAATGAGATCTTTCCCCTCATGGTCAAAGATGACTTTCTTGACTTTCTCAATCATTGAGTCCCACATATCATAGATGAGATGTAATTTTGGACCATCAATATCGGCACTTCTTAGCATATCAACAATTGGTTCCGTAAATTTCAAGAAATAATCAATACTATCCCATTTTTCATCATTCATTATAAGGGATTTTATTTCACGTGTTTTGGCTTCAATTCCCTTATCCCCCTTATAATTCTTCCATTCATCATCCATGACCATTTTCTCCAAAGAAGATTTCACTTTGCGAATTCGGGTGGTCATAATGATGTGTGAGGCAAATCTTGTTTCACCAACCTTCAACAAACACAAATCCGAATATTTTTGAAAAAGTGCATGTGCCAAGTCATGGTTCACAACAAAGTTCTTCAAATTACGCACTTCACTAGTAACTCTAAAATCCATTTACAATTAGTAAAGTGAGGTGATTTTTCCGAAGGTTGGCACATACTTTTCAAAGCTAGATTCAAACAATGAACAACACAAGGAGTCCAAAATATATGAGGATATTTTTGCTCCACAATAGTACCGGCAAGTTTCATATTACTTGCATTATCCGTAATAACTTGAACAACATTGTTTGAACCTACATTTTCTATTGCTTCAATAAATAAGTTAGCAATATATTCACCATCTTTTACGATTCCACTAGAATTGATTGAATTTAAAAACATTGGACCTCCACTAGATGATGCCATTATATTGATCAAAGGTCGTCTTTTAGTATCGGACCATCCATCCGAACAAATCGACAATCCTTTCTTTTTCCATGTACCTTTAATTGGTTGCAACTTTCTATCAATATGTGTTTTTTCTTGAGCTAAAAGAGTTGTCCTCAATCTATTATATGATGGGGGAATATAACCGGGAATGGAATTTTCGGCTAGAAACTTAGAATATTTTTTAAAATAAGGAGAGTTTGCAAAATTGAACGATAAACTTGATGCGTAGAACATCCTAGCGGCTAATTTGCCGGCCGTATTTCTCTCATAGATGCCGAATGATTTTCCTATAGCTCCACTACTCGAACTCTTTCTCTTTTTTTGTTGAATTAAATCAGTCCCCTCCGGAAGTGATATATAATCAGCTTTGTTTCTTGCATCAACTTGAACAACAGTTCTTTTTCTTTCGGCTTGTTCATGCTCCATCTTCAAAGTTGCATATATATCACCACCACTTTCTTTACATATTTGAACACCATGACCCGATAATCTCAAAAGATGTGCTTTCACCCTATTATATGATCCCGTAACTATTTTATTGCAATAGTTACAAGACCATGTTCTATTTCCACCCCCATTTGGAGCAATCGAAAGAACTTTCACATGATTCCATAGAGGTTTATCATCAAAATCTACTCCTACACTTTTTGTAGGTCTCATAAAATGTTTTCCTTTTTGACTACTTGATGCCATCTTGTTAAACAAAGGAAGATGAATTTTTTTTTGGTTTACAATGAACTTGAATGAAATAACAAAGAAGAAAGTCAAGAAACTACTCTATTGGAAAATGAAAAGATTTTTGGTTTTAGGAGGGAAAAGTTGGTGACAATGGAAAGATTTTTGGACTAGTTGATGGTTGATGGGATGTCATCTTTTTTATCTTACTCTACTTGGAAGACTTTTTGAGTTTTTCTTTTTTCAAGAGGGGTGTATGTATTGTGTACATATATTTTTACTATTTTAATTTGAATTGTTTTTATAGTTCTAATAGAAATAAAATTATTTTATCTAATTTTAATTTATGTGAGATCGTTTGGATAAAATGTTTTTATCTACGAGACATGATCCTTGATCTGGATATGATATTGTGCGTGAAACTATATATATCTATATATATTTCTAGTATTTCAATAGTTCGAAGTTTGTATTGATTGAAAGAATCAAAAGATTTAGTAAGACGGGATCCTTGATGCGCTTGTATTGATAGGAAGAATTAAGTGATCTAGCGAGACATGATCCTTGATCTGGATATGATATTGTGTGTGAAACTATATATATAATATTTCTAGTATTTTGATAGTTCGAAGTTTGTATTGATTGAAAGAATCAAAAGATTTAGTAAGACGGGATCCTTAAAGCGCTTGTATTGATAGGAAGAATTAAGTGATCTAGCGAGACATGATCCTTGATCTGGATATGATATTGTGCGTGAAACTTGATTTGGTTTGGTTTGATTTTTCTCTTTTCGATTTGAATTTTTTCGGTTCGATTATTTGGTTATGTCA